CTAAATCCCCCATGCATGAGTCTCAGAGTGTTTTTTTTTGTCCTCCCTTTTGGTGATGTTTTGGTTCAGTACATGAGATATTTTCAGTCTTGTAGTCTAATGTATTAAACATTGTTTGTTTTTTTTTTTTTTTAGAACAGATAGGGCTTCAGTTTGGTAGCATCTTATTCCCTTCACTTCCGGGCTCAGACACACAACAGGAAGTTGTGAAACTTCTAGAGAAAAAAAACCCCTCTATAGTGAGAGGAATTCCCCTCGTTGTGACACCAAAATGACTGTCAGTCATTTTGGTGTCACCCGGGTGCGGGCCACACCCCCTGCAACCCCTTTGTGACGCCACTGCACCAGAGCCGGTGTCCCCATTGAAAGATTTCGCACAACACAGACAGTAATTAGACCAGGAATAGACGACTTCGGCACTCCAGCTGTTATGGTACTACGAAACCCATCCTGCCTCTGCCTCCGGGAGTCATTGCTGTGGCTGTCAGAGTCTTGCAATGCCTCATGGGATTTATAGTCCCACAACAGCTGGAGTGGTGAAGTTGCCTGCTTCTGAATTAGATATAGGCAGAAGAGGAGGGGGCTATGACGTGGAAAGAGGGCAGGGGGCTGGGCTAGGGAATTGACTCTACCTGAAGAAGTCAAATGTGCTGGCGACTTTAAAGGCACATTGCCAATGAATTAAAAAAAATGTTTATTGAAAGCAAAAACTCTGCAAGTTTTCATTTCAGATACTTAATTTTTTGGTTCTTTTCCCTGCAATGTTGTATGACAGCTAGACATGTGCGATTTCGTTTCGTTCCCAATCAATGTTCGGACAAAATTTCCCAAATTTATCCGAATTTCCGAATCCCAATGCATCCGAATGCGTCCTAATCTGAATTTCCGTTTCCGAATTTCGTTCAAAAAGAAAACTGAATTGGACTGAAATCGAACTTTTCTGGCCAATCAGATGTGTTTTTCGGTTTAATGCATCCGAATGGGTCTGAACATGAATTTTCGTTACGGCAACATGGGAACCATATACAGTATATACATATAATACTAAAGCTGAGGCTCTTAGACCTGAATGGCATTCGGGATCCAAATTTCCAAATTGCATTCGGGAGCTCCTGATTGCCATTCGGATCTGGGAGCCTCAGCTTTAGTAATATATGTAGATGGCTCCCAGACCCGAATGGCATTCGGGATCCAAATTTTCGAATTGCATTCTGGAGCTCCCAAATGCCATTCGAGTCTGAGAACCTCAGCTTTAGTCCTCGTTCACATAAGACACAGTGCGTTCCGGCCCGATTCTGGCCACAACGCACTGCTTCGCATTGCGGGCCGCTCACTATCTTGTGGGGCAGGAGGGGGCGTGGCAGTCCATTGAAGTGAATGGCACCGTAGCCACGCTCCTCCGGCTGCAATGCGTTTGGCCGCACGGGAACACAAGGCACATTCTGTCCGGTCCGACCAAAATAGTGCTTGCAGCATTTTGTTCGGACCGGACCTCAGGCTTAAGGTGCCTTGCGTTCCCGTGCGGACGATCACATTGCGGGCGTGGATACGGTGCCATTCACTTCAATGGACCGCCACGCCCCCTCCTGCCCCACAAGATAGTGAGTCGGCGAAGCAGTGCGTTCTGGCCAGAATCGGGCCGGAACTCACTGTGTCTAGTGTGAACGAGGCCTGAGTAATATATGTATATGGTGCTCCAGAATGCAGTTTGGAAATTCGGATCCCGAATGCTATTGGGGTCTAGGAGATTCAGCTTTAGTATTAATATCTGTATATGGTTTTCTGTGGTATTCGCAACGAATATTTTTAAACTCATCCGAAACTAACGAAAATGTGTTTTTTGTCCGGATCCAAAACCCGGAACCGAATGTAATTTTGGATCCGAATCCCGAAATAACAAAATATCCGAACCAAATTTTTCCGCAGCTTACATACTAGTTGCTTACTAGTCACAGGTTCTCTTTAAAAGGTACTTCACCTATATACAGGTATCCCCCTATAACAAGTCTAAATATAACGGCGATGCCGGGATGGTGACATCACCGAGGTGGAATGACAGCGGGACTTCCAGGATATATTTGTCCTCGCCTGGTTACGTAATCAATGCCCGGGCACGTTCCTTCCTCCCTGACAGCAATCTCTTTCACCGGTTGGTTCCAAATCACTAGTTAGCGCTCGCTCTTGCTGAGACTGGCAGGAAGACGAAGCTGAGAAAACAGGGAGCCGCTAAAAGCCGATTCTTGCTCGGCACATGTTTCATTTGACATTCAAAGTCTGACCTTAGAATAAAATAAGGCTTTACGAATGAATTGAAATGCTACACAGCGCTGCGGCAATAATATCCAGAGGGGTCACTGTATAATGAGGCAGCAGGCACCGGCAGCGGGATTCAGATGCCAGTAACATGGCAGCGCGATGGTATAAAAACAAATGTGCTCCACGCTGTACATCTGATTATAGGGCAACCAGTGGAACCAGTCAGCAAGCTTCTAATCCAGTCCAGCAAACGCTGTGACTGTGCTAAAATCAGAAGAGACACTCGGGATCCCTTTTAAAATGAGTTGTACAAAATCCACTCCAGATAGATTAAGCAGCTTTTTCACAGTGCCCATAGGAGGGGCTGCAGCTTCTTGTTATATGATTCTCTTGCTGCCTCTCAGAACTTAAAGTGCCAAATCCTTTTTTTTTTAGAGTGTTGGACAGCGTGGAGAGGGATTGGAACAGCGGTCAGGTTTTTATTGCTGTGAGCCGGCTGCAATGCAAAGCCACCTTAACAGCAGCATACAATACCAACAAGAGGTGGACACCAGAGACCATGTGACCTCAGGCATGCCGCTGGACGCACCCCGACATCTAATTACCAGGAACACGCTCCATTCTGTATAATGCATGGAACTCTAACGACTCCAAGCACCAGACTTCAATATTATTAATGGTATCATTATTAAAGCCTACATAAGTAATGCATTGCATTCATCTGAAAATACACCATAGTATATATATATATATTGAGGAAAATAATGATTTGATCCCCTGCAGATGTTGTTAGTTTGACCACTTACAAAGAAATGAAAGGTCTATCATTTTTACCATAGTTTTATTTTACATGATAGAGACAGAATATCAACCAAGAATCCAGACAAAACACGATACAAATGTTATAAATGGAGTTGCAGTTCAGTGAGTGAAATAAGTATTTGATCCCCAAGCAAAAGATGACTTTGTGCTTGCCAAGAAGGGTTCCTCCACCAAGTACTGAGGTAAGATGTTTCTTGTAGTTGGTTACCAGGTTTGTACACATCTCAGGAGGGATTTCTTCTTTACAGATCTTCTCTAAATCCTTAAGGTTTCTTGGCTGTCGCTCGGCAACTCTAAGTTTCAGCTCTGTCCATAAATTTTCTATAGGATTAAGGTCTGGAGACTGGCTAGGCCACTCCATGACCTTAATGTGCTTCTTCTTGAGCCACTGCTTTGTTGCCTTGGCGGTATGTTTTGGGTCATTGCCATGCTGAAAGACCCATCCATGACCCATCTTCAGTGTTCTGGCTGAGGTAAGGAGGTTCTTATCCAAGATTTTACAATACATGGCTTCGTCCATTGGCCCCTCAATGCGGCAAAGTCGGCCTGTACCTTTAGCAGAGAAACAGCAGCAAAGCATGATGTTGTCACCTCCGTGCTGGACTGTAGGGATGGCGTTCTTAGGATCATAGCAAACAGGGGAGCATAAGGAGTTACGCGAAAAAACTTCTAATAAACAATATGATACACCAAACTCCAGGGTTTCGACAAAACTTATCAAAAATCGGTTAAACCAACTCTGAGAAAGGGATTTCTTAATTAGGGGATATTCCGATTTTTGATAAGTTTTCTTAGGGTCATAGTCATCATTTTTCTTCCTCCAAACACAGCGAGTCGAGTTAATGCCAAAGAGCTCAATTTTGGTCTCATCTGACCGCAGCACTTTCTCCCAATCCTTCTCTGAATCATTTAGATGTTCATTGGCAAGCTTCAGATGGGCCTGTACATGTGCCTTCTTGAGGAGGTGGACCTTGCGGGCGCTGCAGGATCTCAATCCATGGCGGTTTATTACTAATGGTTTGTTTGGTGACTGTGGTCCCAACTGCGAAATCTTGCATGGAGCCACAGACCGAGGGCGATTGATGGTTATTTTGTATTCCTTCCATTTGCCAATAATCGCTCCAGCAGTTGTTTCCTTCTCTCCCAGCTTCTTGCTGATAGTCTCGTAGCCCATTCCAGCCTTGTGCAGGTCTACAATCTTGTCCCTAACGTCCTTTGACAGCTCTTTGGTCTCGCCCATGGTGGTGAGTTTTGAATGGAAGAAAGAGATTCTGTGGACAGGTGTCTTTTATATACATAACGAGTTGTTGTTAGGAGCACCTTCTTAAAGTGACAGGACTAATCTGTGTACCACATAGCCAGTCTGTGGGAGGAGCCAGAATTATTGTTGGTTGGTAGGGGATCAAATACTTATTTTACTCACTGATCTGCAACTCAATTTATAACATTTGTATCATGTGTGTTTTCTGGATTTTTGGTTGATATTCTGTCGCTATATTTCCTCTGGATCAACATTGGGTAATTGTGGGCATAGGGTTCTGTTTAGGCTTTTCTTTTTCTTCTTTTTTTTTCTCTTTGTATCTCTATAGTTTGGACTCGATGGACTTGTGTCTTTTTTCAACCTGACTAACTATGTAACTAATACCATATACAATGTAAAGCAAATCTAGACCACAGAGGGGGTTGTTCTAAGCAGCTTTGGTACGGCTATAATGACCTCAATTTACATCAAACATAAAAGAACAAAGTTATCCTATTATGATCCGTGAACAGATGTTGATTTGGTTTTATAAGGCGATTCAGATATTAAGAGGAATTAAAAGAAATGTTGCGTTTATGGAGATTGCTTGCCACTTTGTGACGATGAATATCTAGCCACTATAACAAGAAAGATGAAAAGAATAACAATAAGACAATTGTACCTGTCTGAGGATGAAGCTGGTGGAAGTAGTACTCCCATCGGATCTCTTCAATCTACTTCTTCTGGATGACGTCCCTCTGGATACCTGAGAAACACAAAACATTCCAGAGTTTGGTGATCACCAGAATGTTCATTCTGCTCTACAATAATCCGGTCCATATCATATGATTTGAAATCTGCTACACACAGCCCAATATTTGCAAGTGAAACATTCAATTCATGACCAGCCTTTGACAATGAAGTAGAGTAGATCTGGGCATTGTACGGGATGTATTTGGCTCTTGGTCTGGGGCTGTCTGGCCTGCTGATCTGTGCTCTGTTATGGCCATCTGACAGTGAATGCATTGGCCTCGAAGGCCAGAGAATCCACTGCAAGTCATAGACCAGTGCAAGTTGGTGATCAGCCTATGTTCAGACCGCATTTCTCTCTGGTCCTTGCTTGCTAGCACACTGCCACAGTGGCCGTTATTGGGTTCTGACTTTTCCCATAGCTCCAGTTGCATCTTTTTAATAAAATAGAAACAATTAATGATAATGGGAGATTCAATCCCCATAAATTGCCGATCTCCAGACATAGAGATCTCACCACTGGAATCCTAGGGGCCCATTCACACTATTGCATTAAATGGGTTGTCAATGCAAAAAAACCCCATACCTGCATTTTTTCCCCTTAGAGGCATAAACTGGAAGATGAACCTTCCATCATTACCAGAAACTGACAGATCAGTCTTGGGTGGACCGGCCATATAAAGAGAACACACGATGACTGAGCAGGAATGGGAATATTTCTTCTTAAGCTGTGAATGGCGTCAGCCCCTTAAAAACTATGTTGTAGACCCGGGGTGGGCAACTCTGGCCCTCCAGCTGTGCTTTCACTACAAATCCCAACATGCTTCTGAGAGTCATGCCCGTAACTGTCAGTCTTGCAATGCTTCATGGGACTTGTCCACCCCTGTTGTAGAATTCAGGAGAGTGGGAGGGTTTGAGTAGTTCAGCAACAAATCACTGGGTAGGGCTGACACAAAGTTGATGGGTGATCCCAGGCCACTAAAGGACTTAAGAGCTCAGTACATTTCTGGTAGATCACCGGGTGCATGTTCTCCCTGTGCTTGTGTGGGTTTCTTCCGGGTACTCCGGTTTCCTCCCACACTCCAAGGACATGCTGGAAGGTTAATTGGCTCCAGTCTAAATCAGCCCTGTATGTGTGTGAGATAGATTAGATTGTTAGCTCCTTGTGGGCAGGGACTGTGTAAATTGTTGGCGCTATATAAATATTATTATTATTATTATACAGGATTTATATAGCGCCAACAGTTTGCGCAGCGCTTTACAATATAAGGAAGACATTACAATACAATTCAAGACAAGATGGGAAGGAGGACCCTGTCCGTGAGGGCTTACAATCTAAAAGGGAGGGGCAAGTGATACATGAGGAGGTAGCTGTGTGGGGATGAATCGTTTGGTAAATACCTGTAATAAATCAATGCCACATTCGCTGTATTTGGTACGTTGGCAGATAAGTACAGACTGGATGCTGCACTTTGCCTATCCGTAGTTACCAATGATCCCTGATGTCCATAGACACTCTCTTATGGTAAGGATTAGTCCTAGAATATTTTTGTTGCTGGAATGTTTTTGGTTTTCAAAACTGACCAACTGCACCATCAAAGTGTATCTCCGGACAAAGAGATGTACAGTATGTATGTCCATTGAGACTTCTCTATTTACACTTTCATATAACGCATACGTTCTTCTCCCTTCACTTCTCATTATTTTCACCTGTTGATCCTGCCAGCTGTTTCAATGTGACCTAATTTCCTGCAGAGGACGGACAACTCTGCAACCCCGCTGCTGAAACTGAAGTTGTATTAAACTCAAACTTTTTTCTCCCAGAACTTCTTGTCCAGTAGAAAATCTAAGCAACAGGGAAGTCTCCAGCAGCTGTTCATCTACTAGCTTGGAGAAGGAAGGAGGATTGGGGAGCAGGGGAGTGTCTTGCCTTGCCATGTCTGTTTGGTTGTGGAGCATCAGTAAAGGATGGACACCAGCACTCCAAAGCAAGTCCAGTGCGTGTTTATTAACGTACTAGTTGCAAGTAGAATACTCTAAACAACGTTTCGGGGTCTCACAGGATCCCCTTCATCAGGCAAACAAGTGAAAGTGGCGGAACAATTGCCATAGCGACCCAGGCGGCCGCTATGTTGCACAAGGCACAGAGGGGCCTGGTCCAGGACATCCCCCGGATACCGTGCGGGCCGCCTGGGTCGCTATGGCATCTCAGGCTGCTGGCTGTCACTGGTGGCTGTGAGGAGGACCGCTCCGCCGTTCACATAACTGACAACCTGTCAGTGATGTGTGCAGCGGCGCGTCACTCCTAAGGCTGGGTTCACACCTAGGCGTATCGAATATGCGCGTGTGACGCGCGTTTTAACCGCGATTCGAGGTAAAAAAACACGCATCATACGCGCGTTTCCGAGGGCTACTTGGCTGTATCCCAATGGAAACGCGCAACAAAAACGCCCCAAAGAAGCTCCTGTACTTCTTTGGGCGTAGGGTGTTTTGTAGCGCGTTCATACGGCCTGTAATACACCCAGGTGTGAACCATACCCATAGGAAACAATGGGATTTCGGTGTTTGAGCGTTTTGCAGAGCGTTCGAACGCGCTACAAAACGCCCAGGTGTGAACCAGGCCTTACAGCCGCTGCTGAGCCAGCGACAGCCAGCAGCTGCAGAGGAGGAGGCTGGGCCGGCAGCAAAGGAGGAGGCGGGCCTGGTGATGGAGGAGGTGGGGCCCAATGACGGAGGAGGCGGGGGCCCACCAGCGACCGTGGAGGAGGAGGAGGCAGTGGATCGGGGCTGACAGGTAAGAGGGTTTGACCAGCCCACCTAAGACCCTGCAGAGCCCACCATAGATAGTCTATGGTTTGGGTTATCAGGTGGGCGTAACAAGAAATCACAGGACCACATACAACATTTTGCTATGGGGCCCTGTGATTTTTAGATACGCCCCTGTATCGGAGCATTTGGGCGAGTACAAGTACTCACCCAAATACTCGGTATCGGCACCGATCCCTAATAAATATATATATATATATATTTATATATTGCATTCTAATAACAATATTATTATTTTCTTAAGCATTAATAGTGCTTAATACATCTAATGATAGTATTCAGGATATCAATTCCTTATTCTGTGTCTCATGACTTATATATATATTTCCCATCACATTTACATGTAAACAAAAGCTGACCATCCAAAAGTAACAATGACGGGTTGGGGCAAAACATTATATCGGCACGGGTGCTTCAGCGACTGTAGCAAGTGTTACCAAAAACAACCATGTGAATACAATATATTATTCGTATCATTTTCAGTATTAATCACAGACAGTGATCAGAATACAACATTGTTTACAATGGCGGCCATTTAAATTATGATAATTGTGCACGATTACTATGAAATGACTGCCGTCACTTGCTTTTTCTGTGTCTCATGGTATAAAAGGGTTATGTGTGTGCTAATATCTGACATCTGCCACCCTGTCAACTGCTTGAGCTCACATGCTATCTCCAAGCTCCTGAGAGTGCATAACAGTGTCAAATA